TATCCAGTTTTTCTTTATCTAAATCATTTGATACTCCCATCACCTTACTCTTTTCTATGTTCACTTTCAACTTTCTACCTTTACACACACTCCCAAATTCGTACACTAACCTTTGCAATTTTTCTTTAGAATCTCCCATAAGCACAGTATCATCAGCAAAAAGTAACTGTCACTTTCCATTTTGTATTTAATTCCCCATAATTTAATCCCACCCCTCTCCCGAACACCCTAGCATTTATTTCTTTTACAACCCCATCTATATTAAACAACCATGTTGACATTACACATCCCTGTCTAAGACCTACTTTTACCGGGAGGTAGTCTCCCTCTCTTCTACACACCCTAACCTGAGCCTCACTATCCTCATAAAATCTCTTCACAGTATTTAGTAACTTACCACCTATTCCATATATGTACTACTTGCAACATATGCCACATTGCTTCCCTATCCACTCTATCATAAGCCTTTTCTAAATCCATAAATGCAATAAAAACTTCCCTACCTTTATCTAAATACTGCTCACATATATGCTTCAATGTAAAAACTTGATTTACACATCCCCTACCCACTCTAAAACCTCCTGCTCATCAGCAATCCTATTTTTTTTTTTTTTTTTTTTTTTTTTTTTTTTTTTTTTTTTTTTTTTTTTTTTTTTTTTTTTTTCCCCTTTTTTTTTTTTTTTTTTTTTTTTTTATTTTTTTTTTTTTTTTTTTTTTTTTTTTTTTTTTTTTTTTTTTTTTTTTTTTTTTTTTTTTAAAAATTTTTTTTTTAAATTTTTTATTTTTTTTTTTTTTTTTTTTTTTTTTTTATTTTTTTTTTTTTTTTTTTTTTTTTTTTTTTTTTTTTTTTTTTTTTTTTTTTTTTTTTTTTTTTTTTTTTTTTTTTTTTTTTTAATTTTTTTTTTTTTTTTTTTTTTTTTTTTTTTTTTTTTTTTTTTTTTTTTTTTTTTTTTTTTTTTTTTTTTTTTTTTTTTTTTTTTTTTTTTTTTTTTTTTTTTTTTTTTTTTTTTGTTTTTTTTTTTTTTTTTAAACCCCCCCCAAAAAAAAAAAAAATTTTTTTTTTTTTCCCCCCCCAAAAAATTTAACCCCCCCCCCCCCCAAAAAATTTTTTTTTTTTCCCCCCCCTTTTTAAAAAAAAGGGAAAAAACCCCCCCCCCCCAAAGGGGGCCCCCCCCCCCCAACCCCCCCCCCCTTTTTTAAAATTTTTTCCAAAAATTTTTACCCCCCCTTTTAAAATTTTTTTTAAAAAAAACCCACATTGCTTCCCTATCCACCTACCCTAAGCCTTTTCTAAATCCAAAAAAAATCAAAAAAAAACTTTTCCCCACCTTTATCTAAAAAACTCTCACAAAATTTTGCTTCAATTTTTTTTAAAAACTTGATTTTTAAAACCTCCCCTACCCACCCCTAAAAACCCCCTTTCTCCTCAGCAAAACCTACATTCTGTTTTACCCCTAATTCTTTTTAATTATGACCCAAACCCTACACTTTTTCCCTTTTTATCTCAGGAAACTTTTTTTTTTTTTTTTTTTTCACACCGCCCCATTCCCACCAAGGCAGGGTGGCCCCGAAAAAGAAAAAAAAATTTTACCATCATTTTTTAACTCCATTTACTGTCCCTTTCCCAAAAGGGGCTTTTCACTAAAAGTTTTTAAAAATGCAAAATTAACACCCCCTCCTTCCCGAGTGCCCGGCAAATGCACTTTTTCCAAACTCCAGGACTCAAGTCCCCTGCCGGTTTTTCCCCGAATCCCTTCATAAATGTTAAATTTGCCCCACACTCCAACAGCACTCAAGTAAATTTAAAAAACCCTTTGTCTCCTTTTAAATCCAAACAAACACGCTCAAAGCATTGGCCCCGCGGAAATCCCCAAACCCCCCGCACACAAAAAACCCCCTTTTTCCCCCCCCCCCCAACCCCCTTTCCCAGGCCGACCCCAAACCCCCCCCCTTCCCTTTTCCCCTACAGACTTTATACCTCTTTAAGTCATTCTGTTTTGCTCCAAATTTTCTTACATGTCCCCAAACCACCTCAACAACCCTTTTCCCCCACCCCCCTGGAAAACAGTTTTTTGGGAAACCCCACCCCCCCTAAAAATTCCCCAAAATACGAATTCCTGCATTAAATTCAAACCACACATTGGGCCCTTTAAAACATGACATCTCCACTGCCTCCCCCCTTTTCCCGCTGCAACAAATTTATCCCCCCACGCTTCACACCCATATAAGAGCGTTGGAAAACTATACCCTTTATACATTCCCCTCTTTTTCCCCCCAAGGAAAATTTTACTTTCAACTCCACGCCCTTTGCCAAGACCCTCCATTTACTTCTCTTACAACCCCATCTATAAATATTTTTAAACAACCCACGGTGACCACACATCCTTGTCTAAGGCCAATTTTAAGGGGGAAAAAATTTTCCCTCTTTCCTACATACTCAACTTGGCCTCACATCCTCTAAAAACTCTTCACTGCTTCGTAACCACCCCTACACCAACACTTGCAACATCTCCCACATTGCCCCTACCCACCCTGTCATACGTTTTTTTCCAAACCCATAAAAGCAAAAAAAACTTTCCCCTTTTTTTTAAACTAAAAAACTGTTTTACATTTTTGTTTAATGTAAACAAACCCGGTCTACACAAACCCCAAACCCCCTTAAAAAACCCCCTTGCTCCCCTCCCCATTTCCCACATTCTGTCTACCCCCTTTAAATTCCCTTTTAATTATAACCCTACCGTTTAAATTTTTCCCGGTATAAATCGTAAGCTTATTCCCCCTATAATTTTTTTACAGTCCCCTTTTGTTCCCCCTTTTCCCCTTTTTATAAAAGGGGAAAATATACATGCTCTCTGCCCAATTTCCCCAAAGGGACCTTCCCCCCCTTTTATTTCATTTATTAAACAAAAAATACCAAACCCCTCCAAACACTATATCCCCCCCTGCCTTTTTTAAAATTTTCTGTCTTTATCCCATCAGTTTTCCAGTTTTAAAACCCCCCTTTTTATTTTTTCGTAAAGGCCCCCAGTACCTCCCCCCCACTTTTCATTTCCCCTTTTTTCAAAATCCTAAAAGATGGTTTTACCCCCTGACCATGCATAAAAATTTCTGCCCCGTTTTTTTCCTTAACATTTTTTAAAATTCCTCAAATTTTTTCGCCAACTTCCCAATACCTCCATTTTCCCCCCTCTACTACCCCCTACTTTTGTTTTTTAAATGACAAATTTCCCTTTTTTCCCCAGGCTTTTTAACTTGTTTAACTCACCCAAAAATTTTTTTTAATTTTTTATTAAAAATTTTTTTGACGGGGCCTCTCCCACTCTATCCCCTGCTCTCCTTTTTCACTTTTCCCCACCACTCTCTTTTTCCTTTTTTTTTTACTCTCCCCAAAATACTCTGCCTTCTTATAAACCCCTTTGCTTTGTTTAAAAACCCCTCATAAAAATAAATTTTCTTTTTTTATCATACCCCTTTTTTTCATCTTTCCCCCCAATCAAATCCTCTTTTCCCCCTTTCAACCCCCCCTCCCATAACCAAACCCAAAATTTGTCCCCAAATTTAATCTGCATTTTTAAAAATAACCCCAAATCCCCCTTTCCAAAAACCCCCTCCACTTCTCATACCTACACCAGCCCACCCCTTTTGCCCAATTTTTGCCTTTTAAAAACACCTTAAAATTCCCCCCCCCTTAGTTTTTTACAACCCCCTTTTACCTCCCCCCTTACTTGTTTTTTGCCAATTTTTTCCCCTTATCCCTTAACCCCTTTTCTCAAATTTTAGCTAAAAATTGAAAATATCTGAAATATCACTTTCCCCACTATAAAATTTACATCCCCGGACCTACCCCTCAACCTTTTATCCACCATACATAATTTTAACAAAAATTTCTTTCATTACCAAAGCTACATCATACCCCTTTTAAAAATTTTTTAATTTTTCTTTTTTATAAAATTTTGTATTACTTTTTTACCAAAAACCCCTTCTAACCCCAAACTCAATTAAAGGGCCCCCAATTTTTATTTACCCCTGGCACCCCAAATTTACCTACCTACTCCCTCCACAAACTTTTTTTTACCACTTTAGCATTGAAATCCAAAACCACCATTACTCTTACACTTGGTTCAAAAACTCCCCACGCTTTTCACTCAAAAATTTCCCAAAATCTCTCTCTCTCCTCTCCCACTTCTCTCTTCCCCAGGTGCATATATGCTTACTATAACCCACTTCTAACACCCAAAACCTTTATTTTACTCAACAAAATTTCCTTGAAGTAATACATTTATAGTCCCTCTTTTCCTGCCATAGCTTATCCTTCAACATTATTGCTACTCCTTATTTAGCTCTAACTCTATTAGAAACCCCTGACCTAATCCCATTTATTCCTCTCCACTGAAACTCACCCACCCCCTTCAGCTTTGTTTCACTTAAAGCCAGGACATCCAGCTTCTTCTCATTCATAACATCCACAATCATCTCTTTCTTATCATTCGCACAACATCCACGCACATTCAGACTTCCCAGTTTGACAATTTTCTTCTTATTCTTTTTAGTAATTATTACAGGAAAAGGGGTTACTAGCCCACTGTTCCCGGCATTTTAGTTGACTTTCACAACACGCATGGCTTACGGAGGAAAGTTTCTTATTCCACTTCCCCATGGATATAAAAGGAAAAGTAATTACAACAAGAACTAAGATAAAATCAAAGAAAACTCGGATGAATGTGTATAAATAAATGTGTACATGTACGTTTAGTGTGCCTAAGTGTAAGTAGAAGTAGCAAGATGTACTTGTAATCTTGCATATTTATGAGACAGACAAAAGACACCAGCAATCCTACCATCATGTAAAACAATTACAGGCTTTTGTTTTACACTCACTTGGTAGAATGGTAGCACCTCCCTGGGTGGTTGCTGTCTACCAACCTACTACATCTTGAAATTCCACAAATTACAGATGACTATAATTTAATAAGGAACAAGACTTAAAGAAAATATCTAACCTGTTTTTAAGGTGACTGAGAGGCGAGCACTTCTCATCTGTCTTATGTTGTTTGTGATCATCTGTTATCCCAGTTGCTGCTGCTGCTGCCATTGCTGACTCCTCAACCTTCTCTTTCTTTTGGTTCTTCACAAAGCCCTTACTGTCTTTGCCTTTTCCCTTCTGGCCATATGCTTTCTCTTTTATCTGCTGTCTAACTGTCACCTGACGTCCAGCTTGTCTAACTGCCACCTGGCGTCCAGCCTGATTTAAGAAGTTCTGCTGACGTCGGTAGTCTTCATAACTCCAATCCTATTAAAGAAATATTTTACCGAGTCAACACAATAATTATGTACCTTGGATGGTAATTACCAACACACAGTAATTAAAAACTAGTAAGGAAACTTAGCTCAAGTACCACCACTGTCATTCAAAAAAGCAACTCGTTACAATGTTGTTCAACAAATTACTAGACACCAACACTTTCCCAACAGTGCTCAAGATAACAAGGTAGAGACCCAACTGATGTAAATAACTATACACCAATATCTAACTTACTATTGTTAACCAAAATTTTTTGAAAAATTAATGCACAAGAAATTTTGTAGTTATCTAGCATCATGAAATGATAGAGAAACTTTTCCTGATGATAACACCAAAAGTATGAAATTTGATGGAAAACTTATGGAATTACACTCTCGTAAAATTAGCAGTCTCGGCGATATATATGCATCAGCGATTTCACCCACTTTGAGCCCTATTTTTAGCCAATTCCATTGTTCCAGCCAATCAAACTCATAGCTATTTCTTTAGAACTCCATTTGTTTTTTCGACTGAGTATAAGAAACCACCCATTTACCAATTTCAACTACCCAATAAAGTGGTCAGAAATTAGTAATTTGGCCAATTTCACACAAATTTCAAAATAGGGTCCAGAATAAACAATGCAGACATTCCTGCCACTAAAATAACATTTTTGCTATTCACATTTTTCAATGATTTCTTTCTTTAATTCTATCATGTTTCTCACTTTCTTTACTTATTTATTTATTATTAATTTGGACATGATACATAGATGTACAAAGAAATACAGTGGTTAAGTGCACATGCCAAAAGCCCCTTGTATGCAGAGCATTATGGGCAGGCTTAACCCTTTGACTGTTTCAGGCCCCTCTCTGAAACTGTCATTCTATGTCGCTCAATTTTTGAAAAAAAAAAAAAATTATTTTTTCTTATGAAATGATAGAGAATCTTTTCCCGATGATAATGACACCAAAAGTTCGAAATTTGGTTGAAAACTCATGGAATTATGCTCCCGCGAAGTTAGCGGTCTCGGCGACATATGCGTATTGGCGATTTTGCCGACTTTGAGCTTTATTTTCAGCCAATTCCATTGTTCCAGTTGACCAAACTCATAGCTGTTTCTTTAGAACTCCATTTTATCTATCGGCTGAGTACAAGAAACCTCCCATTTACTAATTTGGACTACCCAATATGGTGGTCAGAAATTGGCAATTTGGCCAATTTCACGCAAACTAAAAATGATGCCAATTTCAAAATAGGGTCCAGAATAAACAAGGTAGACATTCGTGGCACTAAAATAACATATGCTCTGTTCATTAGTCACATCTCTAGGCCCCTCTTATATTATTGCTTTCTATTTTGATTTTTTATTCATACAAAAAAATACAAAATTTACTGTTATGCAGACTACTGCATTATTGTAAAAATGGTATAAATAATATCAGTGCACTAGTGAAAGAATATTAGACTCCCCAGTTGATGTGTATTGGACGTGTGGTGTGATTTATTTACTCCTGAACATTGGTAAAAATCGAACATTTCCGCTACTTTGAGCTCAGTTTCAAGGTCGTTTTCATTGTCAAAGTAATGAAAATCATCTCTATTTCTGTAAATATGTTTTCCATTTTATCACCTAAGACCAAGAAAACGCGAATACAACGATAAATACTATACGAAAATACACCTCAAAGTCGGCGTTTTATTCCAAAAAAATGATCAGTTTTTTTTTTCTCATTACGCAATGTGTTCTGCAGGATTTTTTTTATGTGGTGCACACTGACCACACAGACCCATTCTCTCACATGTGGGCCTACCAGCTTTCTCCCGCTTGATTTGAAGCCGCTAGAATTATTGAGTATATATACGTCAGAAACATTGGCTCGTAAGACATATTTATACGTCGAAAACAGTCAAAGGGTTAAATAAATAAATATTTATTTCTTCGCAAAGGTTACAAAGTGTGTTTACATATCATAATATGGGTGGAGCAAAGAAAGCCACTATCATGCCGAGGCATTTCGGGCAGATTTAACCTAATACAGTGGACCCCCGGTTCGCGATACTAATCCATTCCTGAGAGCTCATCGTAAACCAAAAATATCGGAAAGCGAATCAATTTTCCCCATAAGAAATAATGGAAGTCAAATTAATCTGTGCAAGACACCTGAAAGTATGAAAAAAAAACTTTTACCACATGAAATATTAAGTTTAATGCAATAGAATAGTAATTACAATAACAACAATAACAATAAATAACGAAAAGAATAATTGACACTTACCTTAATGAAGATCTGGTGATGATTGATAGGATGGGAGGAAGGGAGAGTGTAGATGGTGTAAGCATTTAGAAGGGGAATCTCCCTCCATTAGGACTTGAGTAGCAAGTCCTTTTCTCGGGTACTTCCCATCTTCTTTAATGCCACTAGACCAGCTTGAGTGTCATCTGACTCTGTCTCACATACATACTGGCAGCCCTCACCAAGCCTAATCACACTATGTATGCCACAACGTTTCTTAAATCCTTTCAAACCAACCTTTGCTGGCCTTAAATACACTCACGATCACACCACTAGTTGCAGGCAATTTTTTTTTACCAATCGTCATGCAACTGCCTAGCCTATTTCACAAATGATTGCATGAGAGATGCTATCTTCCTGCTATCTGTTTTTCATTTTCCACACCCCAATAACAGTCCTCTCAACATTTTCTAACCACTGCATATTTCTAACACAGCTTCCTTATTGGCCGTAGTTATTTTCTTGCTCACTATAGTAGAGATGTTGAGTGGGGGTTACTATACAACCTGACCAGCTCAACACACGCACTACACTTTCGTACTTGCAATTAACTCTTTCTTCATTTCAACCGTCATTAGTCACCCTTGGTCTCGAAGGGTTTGCACAGGGAGCTTTCTTTCTTGGGGCCCATGGTGACTTACTTTGCGAAAACAGGCACCAAAAATCAGTGATATATGGATAAAATGGAATGTACCGAATGTATCCTTAGATGCGCAGCACACTGGCGGCTTGTAAACACTAGCAACACAGGGCCAGTTCAGGCCACACATGGACACGTCTCGATAACCACATCGCAAACAGGTTTTGTAATCGGAATCGAGCAAAGTTTCTGCAATAAATGCATCGATTACGAATTTATCGGAATACCAATAGCATCGCGAACCGGGGTCCACTGTACTATAGAACTCAAGTCTAGTAGACAGTGGAAGAGTGGTTAGCGATTACGAATGGTTGCTGTATCGTGGAGCCCACTACTGGCAGCCTTCTGAATTTCTCCTTACTGTTATTACATATTATTATTATAATTATTATTAATAGTAGTAGTAAGTAGTGCGTACGTATGAGGGAATTTTGATCTAGGGAAATTGGATCCTGTGCTCCAGGTGCCCTAAATTATAATAATAATAATAAAATAAGAGGCGTGGAGTTAACAGAAAAAGTACACAAAAAGGGGGTGGTCACAGCTCTCTTTGCTGATGCACGTGCTCTTGGGAGATTCTGAAGGAAGTTGCCAGAGTTGGTGGATAAATTTTGGGTAGGGGTAAAAAAGAAAAAAAATTAAAGGTGAAAAAGGGAAAGAGTAAGTTATGAGGATAACAAAAGATTATGAGAAAGATTGAATTCGATTGGAGGGGAAGGTATGGGGGGGTAAAAGTATTCAGTTTTTTGGGGTGGACGTTCAGGGAGGGGTTAAAAAGATGAGGTGAAATCATAAATTGATGAGGGAAGAAAGTGAGTGGTTTTCATTAGGGTCTGTGGGACAAAGAATTTTTTCCTTGGGGCAAAGAGGGGGAAAGTATGAGAGTATATTCTACCAACCTCTTTTAAGGGTGTGAATGGGGGATGAATGTTGCAGCGAGGAGAAGGGTGGAGGGAGTGGAATGTCGTGTCTGAGGGAATGTGTGGTGTGAATATAAGCAGAGAATTCGAGTTTGAAATTAGGAGGAGGTCGGATTACAAAAAATGTTGTCCAGAGGGGTGGGAAGGGGTTTTTGAGGTGGGTTTGACATGTAGAAGGGAAAGGAGCGAAAAAAGAATGACTTCAAGAGGTACATCTGTAGTGGAAAGGGAAAGGGGGGGTAGGGGCGGGGTGGAAGGGTTGGAGGGAGGGGGGAAAAGGGGGTTTTGTGTGCGGGGGTTTGACTTCCCGCAGGCATCTGAGCTGTTTGATTGGAGGAATGGAGCAAATGGTTTTTTTTAAATGACGGCTGTTGGGGGTGAGCAAAGTAAATTTTGAAAGGGGTTCGGGAAAAACCCGGGAGGGCCCGGCTTGGTCCCCGGGAGTGGGGAAAACAGTGCCCGCACTCTGAAGGAGAGGTTTAAGTTGCGTTTAAAAACGTGGTAAAGCACCCTTTGGGAAAACAGTGATGGAGTGAAGAGGGGGAAAGTTTTTCTTTTTGGGCCCCCCTCCTTGGGGGGAAAAGGGCCCCAGTGTGTTTAAAAAAAAAAAAAAAAAAAAATAAATAAAAAAAATAAAAATAATTTTTTTTTTTTTCAAAAAGGGGCCCGTCTCCCCCGAGGCAGGGGCCCCAAAAAAAGAAGAAAATCCCCAAAAAGAAAATACTTTCATCACTTTTAAAACATTTTTCCACCAAAACTCACCCCAATTATCAGGGTTTTTGCAGGGGTTTGCTCAGAATACAACAGTCTAAAGCATACCCCCATATAAAGAAACCCCAACCCTATCCCTCCACACTCCCAATATCCCAAACCCCTCCTTTAAAGTGCAGGCATTGTACTTCCCATTTCCAGGACTCAAGTCCGACTATATGAAAATAACCGGTTTCCCTGAATCCCTTCACTAAAAATTATAGAGAAATAAGCTTACTGAGTATACCAGGAAAAGTGTACGGTAGGGTTATAATTGAAAGAATTAGAGGTAAGACAGAATGTAGGATTGCGGATGAGCAAGGAGGTTTCAGAGTGGGTAGGGGATGTGTAGATCAAGTGTTTACATTGAAGCATATATGAGAACAGTATTTAGATAAAGGT